CACTCAATACCCTAAACGCTTTTGAGTTTTCAGCACTACCAGCCATGCCCTGCAGCTGCTGGCCTCACATCACCAGAGAAAGTGGTCAGTGTGCTGTGTCAGAAGAGATTTCAAGCTGGCATTGGTATTGCATTAGACTCACATACAGCCCGCTTTTAAAATACACGTGAAACACCTTGCTATTGCCAATAGTTTTCCACGTAACATAGTTATTAGCAGCACTGCTAGCTCCATTGCAGCTTCAACGTACATAAGCTCATGACTGTGCTGGGACCAAATATTCCTGCAGTACAGACCTTCTAGACAGCTCACACAGGATAAAGGACCAAAATCTTCATTTCTGGCTCACGTTAGCAACTTGATGAAAATAAGCCTGCTTGTGGAGATGTACTGGATCCACCTGCCATACCTGAACATCACCAGCTCTGGCTCCCAGCCCAGGGGAAGTCAACAAGACCCAGGATCAGCACAATCCAGAAAATACTGCCTATGCTAGAGCTGGAGGTGACTCAAGAACCAAGGAAATATAACTAAGGAAAAGCAGTTTTAAAAAATGCCTCCTCAAGCCGAGAAGCTTCACTGAGATTCCTCTGCCTTCCAGTCTGAACCCTGGCAAATGTACAGGTTCTCAGCTCTTGACCAAGACTGCCACTCACAAGCCGAAACAAGTCACATGGAGCTCTCATGCCACCTAAAAAAGTCAGGCAAACCACCTCCCACCATTACTGCGCTTGGGAGAAAGCATCAAGATAGGAATTAACATTCCATTACTAAACTTGCTAAGAATTAATGCTCTCAGTTCCTTCTGATTAGTGTCACTGTTTTAATGAAATCATTCTGTGCAAGAAGGTTTTGGAACCAAGCCCATAAACCAATGATCCACGAAAAACAATTAGAACTATTTCCTTTTCGTAAACTGTGTAAGCAGCAGAGATTGTATCAGTCAGGCCTAGAAGAAACTCATCATACTACTTCCACGCAGCCCCTCTCCCCCCCTCTGTTTTCTTTTTTAAATCTACTTTCATTCAGTAATAGAGAGCTGGGTTTTTGCCTCTATGTATTTGAAACATATCAGCCTTTGACTATGATAAATAGAGCACTTCCTCACACAAAACATCTATTCTCTCCTCCTCATGCTCACGTAAGTTCTATCCAAACAATCTGAAGAGACAGGATGTTTAAATTTAAAAAAAAAATCACTCTCTGGAAGGCACAGAAAAGGGGATATTTTCAAAGAGCATTGTCAGTTCCTGAAAAACAATCCAAACTGCTAGACTGGTAGCCCACATTTCATGGCCCAGTGTAGCATCACACCCATACTGAGCAGTTATAATTTGAGACTGTTGAAATCTGTCAGAGTTCTCCTAGAAAACACTTCTGACAGCAACAAAATATTAAGACGACCAAGATTCACATAATTCTAGTTTTAAACACAATTTGTTCTGTAAGTTCAATCCTTCTTCTCCCCAGCTGTCAAAATCGAAGCTCAAACTGCACAATGAGCAGTACCTTTCCCACTTACTGTCCTCAACTTTAACACTACTACTAGCAAATCCAGGCAGCCCGACCAGTGGCCTCACCAGCCAGCACACTAAATAGCCTCATTTCATTTGAGTTTGAGGACAGTATTTCCTCCTACCCTGTACACAGCTGAGCCAGTATGCTGCAAACGCTGCACCCACATGCTCTGTAGACACTTTCTTAATGGTACAAGGGCAGCCTAATATTTCTCCTCTTTAAGTTGCACAAAAATTTACTGATAGCCATCCATCTTACTAAATGTTTGTGAAGCAAGTTAAAAAAATTATTATGGTAAAATATATCATTCTACATTATTCTCTTTCTATTCCTGATACAAACCTGTGGTTTTCTAGAATTTCAAAGTTTTCCCTCAGTTGGAAACTGTTTACATGGGATGGATGATAGCCAAGGAGATATGGGTGTTTGGTTAAAAAAAAAAAAAAAAAAAAAAAAAAAAAAAAAAGTAATTGATGTAATTGAAGAACAGAATCTAAAGTTACAGTTTTGTGAAGTTAAAGTTTTAGTGCAATTGAAGGACAAATGGTATTTTTCAGAAGCCCTACAGTGGAGAGCTACACATGTAGCATTTGTTCTCATAAGAAGTGTGGAACAGTAAGACCCTAGATACATTGAAATAAAAGCTATGTATAAGCTTCGATTCGTATTAACTTGTATTAACTAATTCAAACTCTGAATTCATGTACACACATGCATACGTGTACTTTCCTGAAGTTCCCAATCCCCTCTAGAACAGGCCAAGAAGATTTTCCTAAAATAAAGTCCTATCGCCAAAGGTTTGCTATGCCAAAAAGTGCTGAAGCAAAACACCACTTTCACTGGAGATTTAGCAAATATTTGCATGTGTTAATACTGTACCCTTAAAAATCTGTTCACTAAAAGCAAAACACGATAAAATTAGCTTTTCATCCTTGACCAGGCAGTGAAAAAGGCTTAATTTGAAGGCCAGGCACATTGTTCCAGCTAAATGCAAGCCATAAGTTTTCAATTGACATTTCCTTTGTCAACTTTACACCAATCAAGATCACCCATTCTACCTTCAAAAAAAGGATTTAGAATTTATTGTGTTAATGGGACATTGTTTATTTATAGGTATGCCAGTTCACGCAAACTGGATTTTCAATGCAAAAAGTCTCAGATTAAACTCTTTCAATCCCCCGCTGGGAGAATGGGAGAGTTTTTGGTGAAAGTTGGCTGTCTCCCTTTGCCTCTCCTTCAACTGAAAGGGAAAAGTCAATACAGTGAAGTGAACCTAACTATATAAGGAACAATCCAAAAGCACAGAACAATCTGCTATAACCTGCAGGTACAAGGACCCAGCAACCTCTTTTAAGCAAAGGACAACTCAGTGGGCAGCAGCAAACAGAAAGTAAGGATCCAAGTAAGGATTTTGGTCTGACACAGACCAAAACAAAGCTAAAAGTTTTCCATTTCCCCCCTCCCCCAAGGATATGAAGAGGGAAGACTTCATTGTGAGTATACAGTAAAGCACTGTTAAAGCAACAAATAGCACTGGTCTTCCATCCAATCCCAAAGAGAAACTACAAAAAGCAAGGCACCACCTTGCCTTGCCATTATCCCTGACGAATTAGCGTCTGTACAGCTCACTCCAGCATACACGGTACTGGCCACAGATGGCTTTTTTGAAATCTTTCCAAGTCTTTATTTCCTAGGGTCTGTTAGACATTTGACCACAATTTTGAGTCTCAGGATTAGAAAAGTTTCAAAGGCAGCTCTGCTAAATCTTACCATCCTCTCCCACGGAAAACACAGCACATACCACTTCTTAGGCAGAGTACACTTTGGTAATCTTCATGCAAGAGTATTTGGGCGTTTCATTCTCAGAGTAGGTAATAGAGATGTATGTTCTCTCCATGCCTAGAGAATTTTCCTTGAGCTAATTGAAAACAGGTATATTTTGAGTAATGAATATGACTGCCAATAGTCTTGCAGGGAGGCATTGCAAGAATGATGAATGGACTGTGAATATCACGTAAATCTGTCTTCAAGTAAAAGGATCATCTCTGCATGGAATAAACTTAAGTAGTCAATTATCAGTGCTCTGAATTGTAAATATATTTCCCAAGTAAGAAAAAAAAAACACAGCACAACCTAACCCTTCTCAAAGGTTCTCTCACAAAATGGGTATGGTTTATATCTAAAATGCAGACAGAAAAGCAACAGTCATCTACAACACCTTAAAATTAGACTATATTTCAAGTACTTTCCAAATTTTCATACCATCCCATTTTTACATTTCTTCACTTACCACTTACTCAGAGGTCCAAGGGAAAGGCAGTAGTCAGTCAAAATGCTGGTAGGTAAAAGGTGGCTTTCCACCCACCACAGACAAGTCGCTTTCCATGAGGCTGTTTGACATCCACCAGTTACTTGGTGATAACTTCAGGATAATTAATAGAGGAGAGCTGAATGCAGTGACAAAGAAGCCACAGAGACTTAACCAGCTACTACTGGTCCTCCACAAATAGTTTGCAAAAGTCTGATTTCTTTATTTACTTCTACACTAAACAAGTTCAGCCCCTAGCATTGTGCTTGGCAGAAGAGCACTAACTAGGCACTGAACGCTGTCCAAGTGCAGGACGCTTCATTCCAGCCCTTCCACCTACCTAAGTTAATACAAAAGCTAAAGCTCAGCAACATGCAGCACAGTGTCACAATATTTTCAGGTTTACCAGATGTTTAGAAGACGCTTCAAATACTTGTGAATACTTGGTAAAAGAAATTAGCTTTTTTTGTTTAAGGGACAAATTGCAGAAGCTTTGCTATAAAATGGTAGTATTTGATAGTTACCTGCATGTGAATGCACACAAATAAATATAGATAGCTCTGGGCAGGAATAAGTGGACCTGCTTTTGAAATGATGATCCTTCAGAACTTGATTTCAAGACACTGAAAATAACTTCCCCCCCCTTTTTTTTCAGAAAATAATTCTGAAAATTAGAATCTCTAATTTGTAATTACTTGCTCACTTTCAGCTAAATAATGGAGATGCATTGTACTAATCAGAAACCCAGTCCCACCCTCCCTAGAGCATACTCATTATGCTCACGGTGAAATATGCTTCAGAACTGTAATCACCATTCAAAATCACTAATTTTGAAAGGATTCTTACAAAATCCATAATCACAGGAGAACAAATCCTCGTCATTAAACAGTGAAAACTATATTCACACAGTTCTACAAGGAGCACTTTCAGCAGCATGACCCATTAGAAAGCTAGTCTCGCATTACACTACTACCCTATAAAAAGCCCAAGAGCCACACTGAAAACTGTACAATGGCAGTGAACGCATGCCTATTCTATTTGATCCCTCATCCCTTGCAACGGGGCAACTGCAGTCCAGCCATAGCCATTCCTTTTATTTTCTTCCCCCACCCTCAGGTATCAAAATGCAGTATATTCTACAAAACCTACACAATCTACACTGAGTTATCCTTACCGTAATGATTAGGAAGAGAGTCCATCTATCCTACCATCCAGTCAACTTAGCACAAAGCTAAGAGAATGTGCCAACCTCAACAACACGTGCTCCTTTTGAACTCCACTGCAACAGATGGCAGAAAACCACCTCTGATGTTTTGCTGGAAGTGGAATACAGCTATGAACAAAGGTTAAAACTAAAAACTTAAAACTGCTTAGCAGAGGTGTGGCTGCTGAAACCTGACATAGTTGCGTCACCAAGTTTTTACTTTGGCAAACACAGCTTCCTGAATTCAAACAAATCTTAGACAGAACTATCTTTTGTTCCAGCAATAACCAATTATTGCACAGACATGCTTTCAAGGTCACTAGCGGGAAGAGTAAACTTCACCAGGATGTGTCAGTCACAAATGGTTTAAAAAAAGTTAACACCAAGCCTCCCACACTAGCAGGATGCAAAGTACTTACTTCCTTCAAACTGACCACAAAGAAACACAAAGATTCACAAAAAAGCAATAATATTCTTCTGTTATAACTCATTTTAACATTCCTTACAATCAAGATGAATTTTTTGGTATTGCTTTAGTATGTTTTGCTTGAATGATTTTGTTAGGGAAAAATAATGTAGTCTTCAATGTTAAGAACAGGAGAAAAAAAATATTTATTGAGGACTTTGTTCTCACTTATATTAGGAAATCTAATGAAAGCTAAGATTTGGAAAAGAAGCATTTTCACAATCACTAATAAGAGCTACACAATTTATATTATTATATTCCCCCAAACTAGAATAGCACCCTAAACAGAAGTACTGTAGCACTTTCATTAATAAAAACATTTGCATTTAACAAACGAAAGTCAAAAGATCCAGTTATTCCTAAAAATACCACTTTCCAGGAATGTATATATTCAGATTAATAGTAACAAAAACGGAAATCAAAAAAACAGAAACTCCATTTTTGAAACAGATATAATAGGCAAGATTAAAAAACCCGCAAGTGTTTTAAAGGGAAACGCAAAGCACACTTCTTCAGAATTTAAAACAACTTCTGTTAAAACCAAGGAGGAAGGTCACACTGCATTGGTCTGGCGGCAAGGTTTTGTACCTTTCTTCAAATGAACTGATGATGAATGAAGTTAAATACGAATTACTGGACTAGAGAGACACCAGCATGTTCTTGAAGGTCACCATGGAGATGAAAGGTATTACCATGGGTATTCCTATACAAATGGTAAAAATAGCAGCTTCCTTGAATTCAACTGTGCATTCCTTGTTCAATTACTGTAAAACAAATACTGAGTGATAATGAAGAAAACAATGCAATTTCTGCTTTTTTGTCTATTTATTTTTGCCTTTGACAAACATATGCATTATCGTATCAACTGCTTCATTATACTGAACTATAATTCAGGATGCACAACTATATTCCAGCTTTGCTGTGCTTCAGAATATGTAACAATTACAAACAGGCATTACAAGAGCATTTTTTTTAGTAAGACTCTGTTCATCAGTGCATACTGAAGTGAAAAATGCTTTTAAAGCAACTAACGCAGGAAAAACCACACACAGGTAGATCTCATTCAGAGCAGAGTTGAAGCAAAGAACTTGAATTACTGCTTTTATGATTTACTGCTACGTACATACACACATGCAATGATTAACTGCCATAATTCAGTGCAAACAGTAATAAAAGGAAGTTAAAGCACCTTCCTTTAGCAAGCTTCAGAAGTGCAATATTGAGATAACACTTTGACATGAGGCCTCCTCATGCCCAAGAAGGTACTTTGCATCCATGACATACATCATTTGAAGAGTGAGTTTTCTGCATGAACACGCCTGCATAAGCAATTCACACATGAATTATTTACACACACACACACCTGAGTAGAAAAGTAACAAACTCAAGTCTAAGTCCAGTAGGCATGCAAACTGCTTTGCAGATGTGCTCTGTAACACACCGTGGTGAATGAGAGTAAGAGTACTTGCTAAGCAAGCAAGAGTAAACTTAAAGTCACTCTAAAAGTATTTAATTCCATTTGATGCTCATTAATGACAATTTGGTAGGGAATAAGCACCAAATAAAAGGTTATTTCCTCATCACAGACAATGGAGCTCTCTATACCATAACGGGGGACATCTTTGCATCCTATTGTAGGGTAGCTATTTTGGAAGGGGGGATGGGACTCAGTGCTCTCTTGTGGTCCTTCCAACCCTTGCAATTCTGTGACACAACCAGACTGAGATGGGTCTCCTGCCTGACATGACAAAATAACCACTTTCTACAAATTCAGCCTATATTTCATGCTCCAGCTTTTGAAAACTTCACAATAGATCTCAAAAATCTGAAGGACTAAAGGGAAGACCCACCATGCCCAGCGCGACATCAACATGAAAAAGGAAGTAGGCAAACCACATAACTAGAGGAACATTTCTGTAGCCTCTGGGGGACCTGAGGCACACAGAAGTTGAGAGCTACCCATGCAGCAGGGCTGAGCTTCAGATAAAAACTGTTTACTTGGGGAATCTACTTTTAGCAGCGGGGTTGGATTCAATGTTCTCCAGAAGTCCCTTCCAACCCCAATGATTCTGCAATTCTCTGACTACTGGTTCATTTAACCAACAGCTCATTTCTAAAATAGTCATTATTTGCTTCTTCGTTTATGTTAAAAAATGCATTCAAATATGCTTCCCCCGACAAGCAAAAAAAAAAAAAAAAAAAAAAAAAAAAACACCGAAACAACAGAACACCTCTGAAACTTGCTTATGCCCAAAAGCGTGATAACTATAGTCTTCTAAACATAGATTATTTACTGTTACATCTACTTGCTACCCATATGAAAGACTAAATCATCCCAAATCTCAGCATAGCTTTCTGCTTTAGCTTCTCCAAAGGAGACACGTTTTTCAGTGTAAACACTAATTCTATGAGAACAAGGATAGGGAAAAAAGAACGGGTGGGAGTTTTTCCTTTTCCTTGGGTTCAGTTTCACCGGCTGCTCATTGTTCCCAGGCGATGCTCTACCTTTCCATTGTTTCAAATACTTCCCCCACCCCTTTCTTCAATCCCTTAGAGGCAAGCACATAGATAAAGGACTCGGTTTTCCTTCCTGTATTTAAAGTTTGGTTGTTTATCCTTGGTTTTGAGCCTACATCAAGGTTCTGTTTCAATCTGTACACTCAATGTTCATCCTGCTCCCTTCCTTCACAAGACAGTAATTAAGCCCCTGCAAATCCTATTAGTCCAATATAATTTTCTTGTCTCCTTGTCATTCCCTCCTGCTGATTCATCAGGTTACTCTGTATCTCCTTATGAGTTTGCTTAGTCTTAACTAAAATAGTAACTGATCATCCTTACAGTTTTTTTTGTCATTTCACCATACTACTCACACTGAAGGCAAGAATGCACACTTTTAGAACACTGCAACTCCCTCTTCTTCCAACTTCAGTGGAACTTTTTTTGCTGTATTCACCTGGTCACAACAGCTTGCTATGTGTATTTCAGTGCACCATACCAAGCACCATCCTACAGTTGAAAATAATTCATTCTTATAAGACAAAACAAACCCCACAAAACTGCAGTACTCACCACCACAGCCCTTCTACTTTTTCATTTAACTACCAATTACAGAAGGAATTATTGCAACTCTTTCTATTTTTGTGAGGTGAGACATTACAGAACAGGCCATCTGCCTCACAGACCTATCACCCATTCTGGTTTCCTTCCTACACATTTGTCTCAAGCATTTTATGACTTTCTGTATTGGTTTCAGCAGGGCTGAATTTCCCTTTTCTAGAAGATCCCTGTTGACTCAGTCTTGCTTTATTACTCGTCTCCCAGCTTCCCTACCCCCTCCTCCAGTTTTTTTATTTTAAGGAGAGGAGGTATGGTTGTTTTTTCCCCTCACCTTCTGAGACCAGACGTTACTTAAAACTTCTATGATCTAAATTTAATTACTCAGATTCCTTACCTTCCTATCAGGAATTTGTCTGAAGGAGAGAGAGAAATAAATCCTTCCTCCACAAATTCACTGCAATTGTATGGACTGACATTAGTTATCGGCTCAGAGTTTCTAATTTTTATGTGCTTTCCTGTGTATTAATTAATTAGGCAATTATTAACAACCTCGATGTTCACAACAAACCACATATTGCCCATACTAGGATGCATAAACATGGCTTAGTTTCCCTTATGTATTACGAAGATATTGAAAATATTTTCCAGTCCAGGCTAATCTGCTTTAGCTTTAAATAAGCAAAAAGTGTGGGGATGGAGACAGAAGAGGAAGACTCTTTAACTGTTAACTGATTTATAATTATTATTATTATTATTTTTTATCATGGCCAGCATGCCTGAGTTTGAATAATTACAACTGCTGTAATAGAATTCAGAAAATTGCAGTGAGGTGTCTCTATTTTCTTCCCCAAAAGGCAGGCAATCAAAACTGAGGGAACCTGTGAAAGCACAGGCAGCTTTGATCCTCTTTCCAAATAAGTAATTCCGAAGTCCAACGAACACCTTTCAATGGAGAACCGCATTTTTCAAAAGTTCTTACACTGGCAAAAAAAATAAATTATTTCTTCATTTTCCAAGTTAAAAGTATAAGGAGGAAAAACTGTATCTATCATTTGAATGCTAACTTTAAATCTTTCAGCTAACATAAATCCATGAGAAAATCTTCCATTTACAATAAGCAAAACAAAACAAAACAGCCTAACGTACACAATTCTAATTACATCTCTGATATTATCTGTATCAGTAATTAGTTAATGTTGGGAAAGTTGATTGCAAAGATAAAATATTTTTAACAGACCTTGTACTAGATGTACAAAAAAAAAAGCAAAGCTTATGATTAAGGCCACTAGAGCATAATTTGATACAAAATACAAGTCAGGAGAATCAGTCTTTTTTTTTTTTTTCTTCTCCATTTTAATTGTAATCTAGTACAGCTTCTCACTGTTTCTAGATATATATAGGTACACTATAATATCCAGGTCCCACACATGTTTGTGAATTTAGTTTAAAATACAGCAGTATTTTAATACTACTTAGCAGTACTAATTATAACTTCAGTCTGCCACATGCAGAGACATTTCAAAGTTCAGAGACATTTAAAATCAATTTTGCACTTTTTAGTCTATTCTGTGAACTACATTCAAGTCCAAATTTTGATTCAAATTCAAATACGAATCCAAAAAAAACAA